ATTAGACGTTTGATGCACAATCAAAAGTAAATCGGACGAAGTTATATATGAGAGCTATATCCAAATCTGAACCGATCTCGATAAAATTTAGCAAATGTATTTCTGAGCTGTATTTGATATATTTCTCTAAATATTGTTGTTACAGAGTGCATATTACGGCTGTGGAGGACAAAAATAACAAATCGGATGAACAATATATATGGGAGCTATAGCTATATCTGAACCGATTTCGATCAAATTTGGCATACTTATTTTCAGGTCCAATCTGATCGTACGTGAAAAAATTCCATACTATTCGAACTGATATTACACGTTTGGTGCACAATAAAAGGCAAATCGGACGAAGATATATATGGGAGCTATATCCAAATTTTGACCGATTATCTCCACTTTCAATAGGGTTCGTCCTTGGGCCAAACAAATGATTTGTGCAAAATTTCATCTGGATAGGGCAATAAATGCGATATGTACTTTGTTTCCAAAAAATACATGGACAGACGGACGGACGGACATGCATAAATCGACTCAGAATGTGATTCTATGCAGATCATCAAAAGGAACTATGGGTCTATCTCGTTTCCTTTTGCCTGTTACAAACAAATGCATTCGGACTCCCTTTAGAACGGATTTTAAAAAAACCCAGCTTAATCACACGAAAACGCACCAAGACTGACCCCAGTACATAAATTCAAGGTTCTAGCTTAAGCCGTTTTATAGAAGTTTAGCATTGTTCTGTATGGGCCCCGATACTCTTCTACCTTCCTCCTCCTGACATTGAAAATATTCTATTTTAAATGAAGAAAAGAAAAACGTTAAAGCTTTAATTTTGCCATTAGCAATCGAAAGTATTCTCGTCGTCAGAGCTTCAGGAGCTTCATATCCATTATCCTTGACGCATTCGTATTGTTGTTAACTGCTACATGTTCAAAGTGAATTTTTGCAAAAAGGCTCAATAATAAATTGAATTATGGCCGTGATACATTCAAACAAATACACACACACACAGACTGTGAAAAATCTCATTCACACACAGACACACGTAGCATTTCTCATGGGTAGTTGAATGTGGTTATATTAATACAAAACGTATCATTGACGATGGCGACGCTGATGCTACTGCCGCTCCAGCTGATGATGACGATGAATATAGTTATAGGCAATATAAACATAAATCATATTAAACGACAATGGAAAGCATTGCAGCAACAAGTGTATCCATTTGAGTGTAGATATGGATGTGTGTATGAGTATGTGCGACTGGCATGAGGCGGATGTGATGATGTTTCCTCTTTAAGAATACGCATACATCCAGTTTGGCCTAAGGACATTTTGCCATTCCATTCTATCCGTCGCCACTTTTCATAAAATTATCAACGCAAATGGATTTAACTGCCTCTTTGAGACAATGCCAATATGCTTCACCGTCCGTGTGTGCGAGTGCGTGTGTGTGTGTGCGTGTCTACGTGTGCGTGTGCAACATATTGAAATGGTGAAAATATGAAAATTTCAAAGGCTTAAGGGGTTTAAATGGCATTCATCGATGTCAGCAATACCAGAACACAACTGTTGCCGCCCGCACCCGTTTAACAGACGCTATAAATTTTAAAATACAAAGACACTGAATATTTTATGGCAAAACAATTTTTGTGGTAAAATAATATTAAGGATTACATTTTTTTTTTTTTTTTTTTTTTGAAAAGTATATTAAGTCACTGATTTGCATAGATTTTGAAAGGAGGGGGGATGGGAATTGTAGAGAGGAGATGGGAATTGTAGAAAGGAGATGGGAATTGTAGAGGAGACAGAAAAAATGGGGATTATTTTTAAGCAGAAATTACTAAAAGCAGATGAGGTGAATGACTACTGACTCTTTTTAGACAGGCTGAATGGGAATCAGGTCTCAGGATAGCTTCCATAGATTAACCAAAGGGACCAAATATTCCACACAGATAAACTAAAGAGCAAAGGAGTCTCCGCACCGGATTAAAGGATTATAGAGCCTCCATGAACAGGCCGAAGAACCAAACTTGAGTCTCTGTAGGCGAGCTAAAAGGACAGCGAGAATCCATAAGGGCTACGGTGTCTCTGTGGAACGGATGATTGACTATAACAAGATCCGAGTCTCTATAGGTGAGCTCAAGGGCCAGGCTCAAGTTTCCATTAGTGAGCTAAAAGACCAGACATGAGTCTCCATAGCCGTACTGAAGGGCCAGACTCGAATCTTCATAAACGAGCTGAACCGGCTAGGGTTAAGTCTTCATATGTCAGCTTAAGGGTCAATAAAGTCTCTATAGAATAGTTGATGGTCTATGGCAAGACTCGATTGCCCATAGGCCAGCTCAAGGGCCAGAGTTTCGAATTTCCACAGAAGAATTGAAGGTCCAGAGTCGGATCTATATAGACGAGCTGGGTTACTACAGGTCCTAAAGGTCTAGACTCAAGCCTCTATAGGCAATCTGAAGGGCCATATTTGAGTCTAAATAAGAGAATTGAAGGACCATACTCGAGTCTCCAGAGGTGAGCTGTAGGTCCAGAGTCGAGTCTATATAAGCGAACTGCAGAACCAAACACTATAGTCTCAATAGCGGAGCTCAAGGCCCATACTCAAGTCTCCAGAGGTGAGCTCTAGGTCAACCATCAAGTCTCCACAGGCGATGTGAAAGGTTATACTTAAGTCTCCATTAGCGAAATCAAGAGCCAGACTCGAGTCTATATAAGCGAGCTGAAGGATCAATCACTCAAGTCTCAATAAGCGAGCTGCAGCCAGACTTTTGTCTCCATGAGTCTCTATAGGCGAGCTGAAGAGACAGACTAGAGTCTCCATAGACGAGATGAAGAAACAAACTCAAGTCTCCATAAACGAGCTTAAGGACCTGACTCTAGTCTCAATTGACGATCTGGGTCACTACCGACAAACTGAAGAGCCAGACTATGGTCTCCATAGACGAGCTTAAGAAACCGACTAGAGTTTCCATAGAGGAGACAGATTCATGTCTCCATAGGCGAGCTGAAGGGACAAACTCGAGTCTCCATAAGCAATGTGAAGAGGAAGGCTCGAGTCTTCATTGGCGATATAAAGTTTCAGACTTGAGTCTCCATAGTCGAGCTAATGGATCAGACTCGAGTCTCCATAGGAGACCTGGAGAGACAGACTCGAGTCCCCTTGAACGAGATGGATGACTGTCGGTGAACTGAAGGGCCAGACTCGAGTCTGCATAGGCGGATTGAAAGTTCAGACTCGAGCTGAAGGGTCAGGGATTTCAATAAACGGTTTAGAGTCTTCATAGAAGGACCAGGAGTCTTTTCAGACTCGAGTCTCCGTAGGCGACCTGTAGAGGCAGACTCGAATCCCCCGGAAGACGAGATGGGCCACTACCAGTGAACTGAAGGACCAGACTCGAGACTCCATAGGCGGATTGAAGCCCCAGACTTGAGCTGAAGAATCAGGCATCCCCATAAATTATCTACACAGCCTTTATAGAAGTATCAGGAGTCCCCATAGAAGAGATGTGAGACTTTGGAAACTCCATAGATGGGCTGAAGAGCCATGGAGTTTGAAGGACCAGGGAGTCTTCATAGTCGAGCTGAAGGTCCCGGAAGTTTATATAGGTGAACTGAATAACCTGGAATCTTCCCAGACGAGCTGCGGGTCTCTGTAGTCTCCATGGGTTTTTCGCTATCCAGAGCCTCTTTTGAAGATCCACTTAGTCCCTACAGAGTTAAAGGACCATTGAGTGCTTACAGACGAATAAAATGTATGCTTAGTCTCTATAGGCGAGATGAATATCCAGCGACCTTCTTAGAAGATCAAACTTCTGTGCCAGAAAGTCTGAAGAGGCAGGGGCAAGGAGTCCTCGAGGCCAAAAAGTCTGAAAGGCAAGGTAGGGGTTCCGAAGAATCAGGAGGTCTGAATGGAAAAAAGTTTGAAAGACGAGGAAGTCTAAAGGTCCAAAAAGTATGAAAAGCAAGAGATCTGAAGGACTAGAAATAAGAAAAGCAAATAAATTTCAAATGTAGAAATAGGAGTTCTGAAGGACTATGAAGTCTTAGTTAGAAGAAAGCCTAAAGGACCAGGAACTTTCAGAACACAGAAAGGTTAAGAAGTCTGAGTGGTCACTATGTCTAAAGAGCTCAGAAGTCAAAATTACAAGGAAGTCTCAAAGGTTTGTAAGTTTGAAGGTCCTGGAAGTCTGAATTTGGGGCCAATTCGTAGGGGCGAGAAATCTGAAGGGCCAGGAAGTTTAAAAGTTTAAGAAGATTGGAAGGCTAAGAAGATTGGAAGGCTAAAAAGTCTGAGGGGCCAGTATGTCTGAAGAGCAGGAAGCCTCTAGTGCCTGGAAGTTTGAAGGTCCAGGAAGTCTGAATGACCGCGAACTCGGAGGGGCTGTAAATCTGAAGGCCCAGGATGTCCGATGAGTCAGGGAGTGTAATGGAATGTAAATATCAAAATTGATTCTCTATAGACGGGAATATTTATAAACGAATAAGGAAATTATTATTAAGGTAGGAATAACTGCAGTCACGACGAAAAGTCCCTACATTCGGTGAGTTCTTCCTATGGTAACCGGATTATGGTCGCCATGTCAAATCCTTATTGTTATGATTGAGTTAATTTTTTTTTTCTTCGAAGAGAATATGAGTGTGCCAATTAGCTAAACATTTGCAACAATACTCATATATCATCCCCTCTCACACCCTCACATCCTAGGGCAATTTCCAAGGACACATCGATACCTTCAATTTCAATTGGAAATTCATACGAATGAAGCAAATTAAAAGCGAAGAACGAACGAACAGAACAGAGCAGAGTAACAGCCAAACAGACACTTGCAAAATTCAACAAAATTTGCCAATGGCATAACGTTTTAAATCAACAGATATTCAATTGGAAATAAGAGGTGTATCGAAGTGTGTGTGTGTGTGTGTGTGCGAAGAAAACAAAAACGAAGAGAAAAGAAAAGAAACATGGCAATAAGCTGCAAAAAATCATGTTTTCTTACCTTTTTATTTCGATGTCCTTCCGAGCGCAAAAAAACCCACACAACATTGTTTACTCTTGGAGCAGCGTGGCACAGGAAATCGCTTTAGTTTGCAAGAATGTGGATGTAGAGCTGTAACGAAAGAAAATAAAAAGAAAAATAACAACAACAACAGATCTAGATGTAATCATATTAACGAGGTTAGAAATTGTCACAATTGAAGAAAACAAGTGGGAAACGTATGGAAAATGTCAAGTGGCAACGATTTAGGTTTTAAATGATAAGCAGAGCATTTAAATGTCAGCATTTCGGAGTAAGCTTATTTAAAGCCTTTAGTTACACATAAGGAATCAGAATTGGCTCCAATACGAATACAATTACTTTTATTCATTTATATATGTAAAATTATATTATGAGAGTGAGTTATTAGCTTACAGGGTTGCCCATATTCGACGGACCCATGTTTTTTTTTTTTTTTTTTTTTTTAAATCAAAGAAAAAATAAAAATTTGGCGGTTGGCAATGTTAATCATTTAATTTGTTCCAAGTAGATTTGTTTACATCAATTTTTGAATATGATATCTCTCAAATGGCTGCCTCTGGCGTTGATGACGTATTGTGCCCTTTTTGCTATATTTTCCATCGTTTTTGCCAACATTTCGGCCGGAATAGCGGCTATTTCTTTACGAATGTCTTCCTTGAGCTCTTCTACGGTCCTTGGCTTATTAACATAAACCTTTGACTTCAAATATCCCCACAAGAAGAAGTCAGGCGGCGTCAAATCGGGCGAACGCGGTGGCCAATCTAAATCACCACTTTTCGACATCAAACGGCCCGGAAACAAATTCTTCAGAAAATCGATTGTTATGCGACTTGTGTGCGGTGGAGCGCCGTCTTGTTGAAACCAGAACTGCCTCATACACATTCGACGAATTATTGGCATCACAAAATTGGTCATCATGTCGCGATAACGCTCCTGATTGATGGTAACAGCATGGCCATTTTCATTTTGGAAGAAAAAACGGCCCAATGAACGTTTTTGCACTAACACCGCACCAAACTGTGACTTTTTCGTCATGAAGAGGCACTTCTTGAATTTCTTGAGGATTTTGAGTGGCCTAAAAACGGCAATTTTGCTTATTTACGGTCCCATTCAATGTGAAATGGGCTTCATCGGACATGATAATTTTGTTCCAAAATTGCTCGTCATCTTCGGCCATTTCGATGACTCCTTGGGCCCATTCCAATAGACGAGGCTTGTCCGCAGGCAACATTCTTTGCGTCAATTGAATTTTGTACGGGAACAAATGCAAATCAATGCGAATAATCCGTTGTAATGTGGACCGAGCCATGTCCAACTGCTGAGAACGGCGTTTTTGGGATAGTTCTTTGGGACCTCTCAACACTGGCTCGTACGGCAGCGATATTCTCGGCTGATCGCCTTGGTCGACTTTTATATGGCCTCTTCGGATTAGAAAGAGCCTTACCAGTCGACAATTTTGCGTATAAACGCTTAATGGTGTTCTTAGAAGGCGCACTTCTCACTTTTTTTAATGTTTTAAAAGCACGTTGAGTTTTCACAATTGACTTCTTCTGTTGAATGTAAATTTCAACTATTTCAGAGCCCGTGTATTGGTTCATGGTAAAAATCTGATTGGACTGACGCTTCAAACGCGGTATGTCATTAAGCGATGTGGCATCTCTGTCAAAAGTTATGGCGTTGCCAGATGTGTCCGTCGAATATGGGAAACCCTGTATAACTATACCCACCGATATTCGGTATTTTGATAATCCTAGCCACATTTACCCACACAATTGTTTCAAATTTGGTATTTTAGAAGATTTGATAGATGACAATCCTTTATACTTGCATATAGAGGTTCACTTTATGGTTTTTTGATAAATTTAACTGCATTATGCAAACGGTCTTACTGGTGTATGAAATTTAAAGAGAAACACACGTGAATTCAGATACGTATATATAAAAGTTTCCTTTACCCTAAGGAGGAGGGTACTAAATGTTTTTTAATTTGTTTTTTTTATTAAACTCTCTTTACATGATCTTGGTAGTTCAATATCATTATTCTATTCCAATTTCCTTCGATTTAAGCCAACTTCACTGCTTCCATAAAATCGCAGAGCAAAACAGGGATTAATATAAATTAAAAGTTATTCGCAATTTCCACAACAAAAAAAAACCGAACTTAATTACTCTTCAATCCAATTCCCCTTGCAATGTAAAATATTTTCCCTTCTCCAACAACACTGAATGTTTTCCCCCCAATTGAGTTATATTGAACTCCTCGCATACAAGCAACATTGATGAAAACGTAAAAACATGAAATAAAGTACAAGTACTTGTGAAGAACGATCAAATAAACGAAATCCCCATTTAAATATTGTTTTTCATTACGAGGAAAAGGAAGCTACACCAGTGTCGGGAAATGTCCTTGCACACAAGAAACAAGCCACCACAGTCATTCACTTTCACACACACATACACGTCACAAGAAGCAAATATGTAATCAAAAGGATGTATAGAATAAATAATACACCCATAAAGTCAGACATACTCGTACACACAGCAAGGTATTTACAAATAAATGAAAATTTCACAAAGTCAACTGTTTTGGAAGTTGTTGGAAAAAATGAGCGGAATGAAATGAGTACAGGATATCCCCTCTTCGTTAGATTATGGGTGTGTGTGTGTCAGTGAGAATTCGTATGTTTCCAGAGACATGTTATGAAGAGATTATTGAGATTTAATAGATGTAAATGTTTAACAAGTTTGCCTGTCTGTTCCTTTTTTGCATATTGTCATCACGAAATTTGTGAGAACTTTGTTAAAACCTTCAAATGCATTTGAATATGAAATGAGAATGCGTTTGACAGCACCCAAAAGACCATGGTGTTAATTCAGTGCAAATTTATTGGCACAAATTGTACATTTTTTGGATTCAACAAGAACTTTTCCTGTGTCAAGGGGCTTATCATTTAAATAGTAAAAAAAAAAAAAACAAATAAAAAAGTATGGGACGGTTGTACCGACAGATTTACACACTTAGTCAATGTTCGATTATTTAAAAAAATGATGTTTGATATGATTATTCAAACTACTAACCCTCTATGGAGCGGATTTTGAAAGATTATTGAAAAACAAGTAAAAAAACATTAAGTTCGGCCGGGCCAAACTTTTAATACCCTCCACCTTAGGGCAAGGGAAACATTAGAGCCCATTTATCAATTTTTAGACATATTCATGGGAAAATGTGCCAAAAATCATCAAAATACCGAATATCGGGAAATACGGCTATATGGGGCTATGAAAAAACGTGGACCTATACATACAGTGTTTCGCCAAAAGAGCTAGAACCTATTATGACCAACTAATACCAATTTTTAGACAAATCCGCGAAGAAATGTGGCAAAAACCATTAAAATACCAAATATCGGGAGGTACCGTTATAGAGAGGCCATACCAAATCGTGGACCTACAAATGCAATGTTTCGCCAAAGGAGCTGGAACCTATTATGACCAACTAATACCAATTTTTAGACAAATCCGCGAAGAAATGTGGCAAAAACCATTAAAATACCAAATATCGGGAGGTACCGTTATAGAGAGGCCATACCAAATCGTGGACCTACAAATGCAATGTTTCGCCAAAGGAGCTGGAACCTATTATGACCTACAAATACCAATTTTCGGACAAATCCGTGAAAAATGTGACAAAAATTATCAAAATACCGAATATCGGGAGGTACCGTTATATGGGGACTATACCAAAACGTGGCCATATAACAACAATGATTCGCCACACGAACTGGGACTCATTATGACCTACAACTACAAATTTTTCGAGAAATCCATGAAAAAATGTGTCAAAAATCATCAAAATACCGAATATCGGGAGCTACCGTTATATGGGGACTATACCAAAACGTGGACCTATACATACAATGTTTCGCCACACGAACTAGGACCCGTTATGATGTACCAAGTCTGGAATGAAAGCGGATGTTAATTTCACTTTCTATGAACTTCATGGATATTCAAAATCTTGAACCTTTGTGGGGGAGGTACCAGAAGGAGAGGACCGATATATCCCATCTTCACAACATATCTTGTGTTAGTAGAAATAATGGGATTTGTGAAATATTTTGCGTTTTTATGACCTTCATGGATGGAGCCAACCACAACTTCAGCCATAAGACAACAACAACTGCAACTATGGTCATTAGCTTGGAAAAACTTGTCGAGCTTTTGATGGAGGTACCAGAAGGAATGGTCCTATCTCTACCGTTTTTATAACAGATCCTAACAGATGGAAATATTCAGATGTGCCGAGTCTAAATGGAATCAGATGTTCATTTTGCGTTTTATGAGCTTAATGGATATTCAATATTTCGACCTTTGTGGGGGAGGTACCAGAAGGATTGGACCGATGTATTCCATCTTAACACCAGATCTTGAGTTTATAAAAATATTGAGATGTGTGAAATTTTAAGACAATCGGATTCTTTATAACAGTTATAATTATTCAAAATTTTGACCCTTTGTGAGGGAAGCACTTTATGAAGTAGACCGATATTATCTATTTTTGCACCTGCCAGAGAACTGATGCAAATATTAGGATTTGCAAAATTTGCAAAGCAAAATCGGATTATTGCTTATCTTTCTGTGCAGCAAATATTATTATTATTATTGTTATTTTATTTATTTATTTATTTTTGTACCCTACAATACTATGTGTTTGGGGTATTATTAGTTTGAATGAACCAAAAATTATGTAACACCTCGAAATATTGGTTTCCCCATAGGAAAGTATGTATGGATCTTCCTCTCTCGCCGAGATGAGTCGATCTACCTATGTATGTCCGTCCGTCCGTCCGTCTATCCATGTTAATTTGTAATCACTCTACAGGTCGCAATTATGGTCCGGTCTTCACGAAATTTAGAATGTAGGTGGGGTTAAGGTCAGAATAGAAAAATTTCCTGATTTTGCAGTTGCCCTACAGGTCACAATTATAGATCAATCGAAGTGAAAGTTAGCATGGGGCTAGAGCTTTGGGCTCTTTGGTCATCGGGTAATATTTAGTGGTTGAAATAGACCATAGCATTTGTGACAAAT